CCCAAGTGTTTCCGTTGTCAAGGGATAGGTCATTATGCCAATGAATGTCCTAATAAGAAAATAATGGCCATTGTTGAGTATGAAGAAGAAGAAATCAGTCCCTCGTGGGCTGAAGAAGAGCTTGAAGAAGAAGAATGTATCGGAGCAGACGAAGGAGAACTCTTGGTCATCCGTAGGACCTTGAGTAGCATGGCTGGTCCCGATGATCAACTACAACGGGAAAACATCTTCCACACCCGTTGTACAATTCAAAAGAAGGTGTGTTCTTTGATTGTGGACAGCGGAAGTTGCACCAACGTGGCATCCAAAACGATGGTAGAAAAGTTGAAACTCAAGACCGCACCACACCCAAAACCATACACTATTCAATGGTTGAATCATGGGAAGGGGTTACGTGTGGATTCTCGGAGTTTGGTTTCCTTAAGTATCGGAAAAACTTATTCCGATGAAATCTGGTGTGACATCATTCCAATGGACGCTTGCCATATCTTCTTGGGCCGTCCTTGGTTATTTGATCGAAAGGTGTTCCATGACGGATATGCTAACACATATTCGTTCCTTATCAAAAAAAAGAAGATCACCCTCACCCCTCTCCCACCTTCCTCACCCACGGCCCCCTCCTCTCCAATAGAAGAACCCCCCATCCTTCTCTCCACCATATTACAAGCTGGGCATCATGAATTTAAAGCCCAAAAGGAACTTATCCTTTTTGAAGAAGCTGAAACCGAACCCCTGCCCTCACCTTCACCTCCGCATCCATTAGTCAAACCCATCCTTGAACACTTCTCTCATGTCTTCCCCGAAGATGTTCCTCACGGCCTTTCTCCTAAAAGGGACATCCAACACAAGATTGATCTCATCTTGGGGGCTGCCTTACCCAACAAACCAACTTATCGCATGAATCCAGAGGAAACTAAAGAAATCCAAAGGCAAGTAGATGAATTACTAGCTAAAGGATTTGTAAGGGAAAGCTTGAGTCCATGTGCTGTTCCGGCTCTTTTAGTGCCAAATAAAAATGGCACTTGGCGTATGTGTTGTGATAGCCGTTCGATAATCAAGATTACTATCAAGTATAGGTATCCCATACCTAGGCTTGAGGACATGCTAGATGAGCTCCATGGTTCTAAGATCTTTTCTAAGGTCGATCTTAGAAGTGGCTACCACCAGATTCGAATCTATGAAGGAGATGAATGGAAGACGGCGTTCAAAACCAAATTTGGGCTTTACGAGTGGCTGGTCATGCCATTTGGGTTAACCAATGCCCCAAGCACATTCATGAGACTTATGAATCAAGTTTTAAAGCCATTCACAGGTCATTTTGTCGTGGTCTACTTTGACGACATTCTAATCTATAGCCGAAGCGAAGAAGATCATGTTAATCACCTTACTTTGGTGATTAAGAAGTTAGACGAAGAGAAGCTGTACGGGAATCTTGAGAAGAGCCAATTCTTTTCTCAGGAAACGGAGTTCTTGGGATACTTTATCTCGAGTGAAGAAATCAAAGTCGATGAAAAGAAGACTTAGGCCATAAGGGACTGGCCCGTTCCCACGTCAATGCAGCAAGTTAGAAGTTTTCATGGACTTGCATCTTTCTACCGGCCATTTGTGAAGGATTTCAGCACCATAACTCCCCCCCTCACGGATTTGACGAAAAATCAGAAGTTCGAATGGAATCCTAAAGCCCAACAAGCCTTCGAAGCAATAAAGGAACGCTTAACGCATGCTCCCGTGTTAGCCCTTCCTAGTTTTGAGAAACTATTCGAGGTTGAATGTGATGCCTTGGGAGTTGGCATAGGGGCTGTCCTATCCCAAGAAGGACATCCGGTGTCGTACTTTAGCGAAAAGCTAAATGATACAAGAAGACGGTATTCTACCTATGACAAAGAGTTCTACGCTTTGGTACGATCTCTTGAGCATTGGCGTCGTTATCTCATAAGCAAGGAGTTTATTCTTCATTCCGATCATGAAGCCTTAAAATACATCCAGGGGCAGCATAAGCTTCGACCCCGCCATGCAAAATGGGTCGAATACATCCAAACCTTCATGTTCACCATCAAGCACAAAAACGGAACCATGAACAAGGGCGCCGATGCCTTGTCCCGGAGACATTTGCTACTAACGGTACTTAGTACCAAACTTCTTGGTTTTGAATTTTTGCAGGAGCTTTACAAGGAGGATGAAGACTTCAAGGACACATATTCTAAGTGTCTTTCTCGGCCCTATGGTGACTTCCTCATAAAAGATGGTTACTTATTCCATGGTAACCAATTGTGTGTCCCGAAGTGTAGTGTTCGTGAGACCCTCATTGACGAGATCCATGGTGGCGGCCTAGCAGGTCATTATGGTGTCAACAAAACCTACGTGATGATGAAGAAACACTCTTTTTGGCCCAAGAT